TTTATTCATTTTGAGAGAGAGAGAGAGAGAGAGAGCACACACACACACACACACACACACACACACACACACGTGCGAGTGGGGGAGGGACAGAGAGAGAAGGAGACACAGAATCCAAAGCAGACTCCATTCAGGGTCTGAGCTGTCAGCACAGAGCCCAACATGGGGCTCAAACCCACAAACTGTGAGATCATGACCTGAGCTGAAGTCAGATGCTCAACCAACCAGGCACCCCTCTTTCCTGATTTCAAACTGTATTTGACACTTATTCTGTGGCCCAGGATGCTTTATCAGTTTTGTGGGGTTTTTGTTTTGTTTTTTTAACTTCCTGTGGAACGTCAGGTGTTTTGTTTGTTTGGTCTACTTGATCTGTCAAAGATGGAAGGGTGTTTTAAAAGTTAAAAAAATAATAGTAACATCTTTCCTTGATATATTTTGTGGAATTTGATATTTAGTATATAAAAGTACACACTATCCTTTTCATAAATTATGACTTTTAGGGATTTTTAAAAACTCATTGTCATTCAGTGATTTGACTTGAGTATTGTTCTCCTTGTGCAATAATGACTTTTGCTTTCCTTTAATTTGAATTTTCCTGTTCTGTTTTTGATCATTCGTTTTATTTACCCTTTGTGATTTTTGTTATGCTTACCATTGTGGGCAGGGGAATGCCCAGATTCAATTTCATTTTATGAGAAAATCCTGGTTGCAGCCCATTAAAGGAACTTCAGAGGCTACAGCCAACAGTTGGAAAATATTTGAGATGTGTTTTACTGTATGCAAAGTACATTGGCTTCTGATTAGAACAGACCTAGATCTGATTCCTACATCTCTCATTTACCAACCGCGTGACTTTTAATCACTTTCTTAATTATCTGTTATCTCATTTTCTTCTGTAAAGTTGCAATATATACATTCATATTTTTTTCTGAAAATTAAAAGGCAATGTATGAAACAAGCCTAGGTTAGAGACCCAATAAAATTAGCTAATACCATTTTGCATTATATGCCTGTCATTCTTAATGTCTTAAGTCCCCCAGTTTTAAAACACTAAAGAAAATGGCAGATTGCTCCCATGCTTTCCAGATCCTTTTTTTTTTTTCCTCTGAAGAGTAAAGGTTCTTTTTGTATGAAAATCTTATATGGTATAAGTGTTTATTTTTTATTTCAATTTTTTAATATTTATTTATTTTCGAGAGAGAGAAAGAGTGCAAGCAGGGAAGAGGCAGAGAGCAGGGGAGACAGAATCTGAAGCAGGCTCCAGGCTCCGAGCTGTCAGCACAGAGCCCATTGCGGGGTTCCAATTCACCAACTGCGAGAGCATGACCTGAGCCGATGTCGATGCTTAACTGACTCAGCCACTCAGGTGCCCCTGTATAAGCTTTTCTCATCATGAAACTCATAATGCCGAATTTGTAGCATTTTTAAAGTAGGAAATTTATTTCGTGTATAACTCTTAAAGTAGAGAATTTTGTAAGTGACATATTCTGTTAGCTGGTGGCACCTCCTGGCAAAGATGTATCATGGCTTAGAGCTTATTGTACGCACACACAGACTCCCCTCATAAAGTAGTCTGGGAAAGGTGATAGGAAAGGAATATATTGTGCTTACCAAAGCAGTCATTTCCATTGTCTCCCAGAAACATGGGGCTGGTGGAGTGAGAGGAGGGAGGACTTTTGCCTATTGCCCTAGTCCAGTGCTTGCCAGCATGTGCTGAGCTCTTGTATTATTATAAAAGGGAGGGGGCCATGTCTACCAAACTTGGGAAAGCTAGGTTAAACTATCTTAACCTGTTAATTTTTATGAGACCTCTCTGAACCTTTAGTATCTTAATGAAGTATTTTTTTTTAATTTTTTTTTTAATGTTTTATTTATTTCTAGGAGAGAGAGACAGCGTGAGCAGGGGAGGGCCAGAGAGAGAGGGAGTCACAGACTGAAACAGGCTCCAGGCTCCGAGCTGGCAGTCAGCACAGAGCCCGACGCGGGGCTCGAACCCATGAACCGCGAGATCATGACCTAAGTGAAAGTCGGACGCTTAACCAACTAAGCCACCCAGGCGCCCCTTAATGAAGTATTTTTTAAACCCGGGTGTGGAGAGGGAGAGAGCAAGTGCTTGTGCAGCATATAGCATTTGTCAGATTTTATTAGACCCCGGGACCCGTTTTTCTGTGTCACCTGGAAGACTCTTGGGAAATGATCCTCCAATCAGTGTAGCTTCAGCGTAGCATTTTCCCTTTGGCATCTTCTCCTGAAGTCTTTGTAAGAGAAGTTGAAAGATATGTATGATAAGGGAGCTATTCCAACCACTCCATGGCTTTATTAAGTACAATTTTATTTATTAAAAAATATTTTTTAATGTTTTATTTCTGAGAGAGAGAGAGACATCGTGAGCAGGGGAGGGTCAGAGAGAGAGAGGGAGACACAGCATCTGAAGCAGGGTCCAGGCTCTGAGCTAGCTGTCAGCACAGAGCCCGATGTGGGGCTCGAACCCACGAACTCTGAGATCATGACCTGAGCCGAAGTCAGACACTTAACCGACTGAGCCACCCATGTGCCCCTGAGTACAATTTTAAGTTGTATCTTTTTATCCACTTTTATCAAGCTTAAGAGAATAGTTGCTATTTTTATCAGAGGGGTTGTTTGTTTCTTGGCTGTATAAATAAACACCATTCCTCTGTTTTGGAATGAGTGAAAGGAAGAATTAAATGAAACTGTAAAGACAGTTGTTTCTTTTGTAGTCTGCAGGGACTTCTGACTTTTTTATTTCATCCCCGAGTGAGGAAAGTAGGTAGCTTAGGTTAGAAGAGCTCTGGTGGGTTCAGACTCCTATATAACAGAAGTTTTTAGTTTAAAATTTTTTAACGTTTTATTTATTTTTGAGGGACAGAGAGAGACTGGGTGTGTGGGTGAGGGGCAGACAAAGAGGGAAACACAGAATCTGAAATAGGCTCCAGGCTTTTAGCTGTCAGCACAGAGCCCAATGTGGGGCTTTGACCCACAAACCATGAGATCGTGACCTGAGCCGAAATCAGACTCTTGAGTGACTGAGCCACCCAGGTGGCCCAAAAGTTTTTAGTTTAAAACCCTACATATGTGCATTCCTCATACATTTCCTCGGGTGCCTGAAGATGGGGGCAGTGGCTTGCCATTTTTCTTCCACTTTGTACGCTTAACCCTTCATGTTTCCAGCCATGCTTTCTTCTTGTCACTCATTGTGACCTTGCAAAGATGGCTTTGTAACTACCAATTGGACACAGGAGATGTATTAAGTCACTGTTTCCACTTTATTCACTCCCCTGCCGGCTTTATGAATCTTAAGTCCTTCAAGAGAGCAGTAAAAGGAAAGTTACATGGAGTGAGAAATACTACTTTTGTTTTTCTCTTCTCCATCCTCTTCTTCCCATTCAGGATCATTTATTGCTGACTCTACTCTAGACCTGTTTTAGGCCCTCGGGCACAATGTCTTCCTCTCTAGCTCATGGTTAGCTTTCACATATGGGGAACCCTGCCCTTCTGCCCTTCTCCCCCATTGCAGACCTTGGCACTGTGGGGCTTGTAAGATTTTATTGAGGGAGCCAGTGGATTTTCTCCATAGGCAGCCATCTGGAGTCATTCTGTCAAAGCCTGAGGTTCAAAAGTGTGAGAAGATAATGCTTAAGGGAAAGAAGCATCTTCAAAGCTGGGCGTGAATAGATTTTTTGAGTACCAGTTGCACACCGAGCACTGTGCTCAGGAGTCTCAATCCCACAGTACCCTCTCTTTGTTTTCTGTTTGTCCAAGGGTAAAACCGCTTACTCAAGATTACACACACACATACACAGTGAATAAGTGACCACCTTGCAAATGCAATTGCTCTCTGGTTTCAAAGCCGTTGACTTTTGTACTCCATAGAGTACATCAGAGCCAGCTATGTGACCTGCAAAGCACTAATGTTTAGTAGTGATTCTTCTGTTATTACCCACATTGGAAATGTGGGAAATGCTGTATGGGTCCAAACATTTTACGACTTAAAGAAAATAAAGGAAAAATAGGGAAGCTTTGAGAGATAGTTTATCCCTAAAGGCAATAAACAGAACCTTGTGAATGCCGATAACTTAAACAGATCTATAGGATTCTTTTGAATAGTACTGTGGAGAGTTATGGTTTAAATTTTGTACCTCAGTCTTAGAACTTTAGGTTTGGGAAAGAATCTTAGAGGTTCTTGAATTGTTATTCCTTTCAGAGCACAATTCTCCCACTTCCCCTTCTCATTAAGTTTCCATTTAGCCATTAGGTAGGAACTTCAAAAGGGAAAATCCAATCATGTATAATCTCCAGTTAATGGGCATCTATTGAGCGACTAGGTCACCAGAAAGAATAATTACACAGTGCCTCTTTGTGTGGTAAACACAAAAATCAAAAGCTAATGCATTCCCAAGGCAAGGCAGATTGTTACTGGCTACCAGCATCCTCCTCTTCAGGGAAGAAGTTGAGGCACCCACCATTGGTGCTCGCTAAGGGAGATGGCAAAGCCGGTCTAGAAAAACAAGGTTATCAAGGAAGGAAAGAGAAAATCAAGGGGGGGACTTCCAGAGCTTTGTCAGTACTACTTGCTGGTGATGGTTGGGATGGATTACTGAAAAGCAGACATTCTAGTAAATATTTTGTGCAATCATCAAGAACTTTGTGGGTCTCTGGGGCTTCTTGCTACAAGTTAGAAGAATAACAGTGATGATTGAGGTAGAGTCTCTCAGCCCCAGTCCCATAATTTAGCCTGTTTTCTAAGTACGCCCAGCCTTCGTAAAGAAAGATTTTGTGCTTGCTTTTGTCCAGCAACTAACTGTATTGATTTATGAAAGATGAGCACAACCCTTTTGACCCAAAATGACATCTGTTAGTCACAAGCCAAATAGTTTTTGGGTTGGTGTTGGTACATTCTACTTTGGGTTTTCAAAATTATATTTTGGTGTAGGATTTGCAAAACTCGGCATAATTCAAATAACCTGTTTTTCCCCCCTTAGAACACTTCAGTTATGGAGGATCAAAATGAAGATGAGTCCCCAAAGAAAAATACTCTTTGGCAGGTAGGAATGACGACGCACAGATAAGAGCAGTTGACTTACTATAGATAAGATGCTCCCTCAGCTCATGTCCTCAATGAAAACGAGAGCCAAGCAAGCGTTTTTGTTTTCTTTTGTGCAGTTTTGCTAGTTTTGGAATTCACCCTAATTTATCTTCTGTTCCTTGGGGAAGTGTCATTACTAATAGTAAACAATTTTGGAGTTGCTACAAAGATTCTGAAGTGTCTGTAGCTTAAAATATTCAGTTTATTACCACAGTCTAAGCCAAAGATGGTCAGTGGTGGCGTCCTTTGTCACCAGAATAGCACCATGCTATACCTGTGTGTGTGCGCTAGTGATTTTGTCTCCCTACCCTCACCCTTCTCTCCCATTCCTTGTTAGTTTACCCTTTCCATTCTTCTTTCGTGGCTCTGTTGAGTCTGCCAGTTTTCCTCTCAAATCCCCCAGGAGTTTTTTGGCCTAGCTGTGGGGAGGGATGGTATGTAAAGCTTGATGATTTGATATTTCCATCAACCACTGTGGTACAAATAATTTTGCCCTTCATAAAGACACTAAAGGCAAACAAGCCTAAAGGTGAAGAGAATAATGTTAAAAAATATTCTCTGCATTCATTTGATTTGAAATGAGAGGAGTAGATGAGTAGCAAGAATAAATAAAGTGCGCCCAACAAATTTAAGATGAAATAAGCAAAGCCAAACAATGCCAGGAAAATCTTTCCGGGCTCAGCAGGTGGCTAGAAGTAGGAATGGGAACTGTGCTGCAGAACGGGGCACTCGCCGCCCTGTCGGGGGGAGCTGCGTGCAGCCTGACATCTGTTCCTCCTTCGTGTTCGGTATTTCCCACCGGGGTTCTCTTCATCGACTATGGAGTTTTCCCTTCACACTGGTTCTTAACACTTAGGCTTTCAGTTTTCCTTTCATAAGTTCTGTCTTTTAGTTAACTAGTTAATGGTATACCAGTGTTCGATGGAAGTTAGATGTTTAGGAACACTTCTGTAAATGAAATAACCCTTTTGCTTATCAAATGAGATAATGGATGTGAAAGTATCTTGTAAATTATAAAGCAATACATAAATGCAAGGTGTTACCCATATTTAACCTGTTAGGTGTTAGGAAAGCAATTATTTTGGCAAGTTATAATGAATAAAATGTAGAAAGAAAAGAGGAAGGACATATGACTGGTTTTTAAATAAATCCTTATATTCCATCTTGTGTGTTCCCCTTTACACAAATAACCATGATTGTAATGCTGTATAAAATTCTGCCTCTTACCTTTTCTTCCTTAATATTGGTTCATAAACATGTTCTCTTGTTATTAAGATCTTACTATGTAAACCTAATTTTAATGGCTTCATTATAGTACCCTGTGTAGATGATGCATTGTTATTTGCTTTAACCAGTTGCCTATAGTTGGGCGTTGGTTCTAATTTTTCTGTTATAACATTATAGTGAACATCCTTATACTTAAAAGTAGCAGAGATGCTCCTTAGACTAGCTGATACTCCCCACAGTGAAGAATTTTCACTTCTGATTTGAACGTTGATTTTTGGGGTCTGTCAGATAGAGGTCTTAACTACCAGCAGCATCATAAATTTCTGTTCAATGCTGCCCTCTGGTGGTACCCAGTGTCAGTGAGCTCTCCTTCAGCCAAATTACAGGGGGGAAAAACACTCCTAGAGAAGGAGGTGGTAAGATAAACGGGATGGGAGGTGAATGCCTTCTCGCTAAGTACCTTTAAATGTGGACATAAAAGCTTGCTTCAGAGAGGTATGATATATAAGATCTTAATAAGGAAAGCCAGACTCCTGTGGTTATTTATGAAGGATGTCTTCTTTCTGGGGTAGATTCAGTCCATTTTAAATTAGGGGACATAGTGATAATGAAGCTTTTGGTTCTTTCTGTGTAAAACTTCTGAGATAAGCTCCTAATGGAGTTAATGCATGTTTGTAAAGTAACTCTTCAGTTTTCAAAATTCTCTTCCAGGCTATTCTTTCTCGTGTTACACGTGAAGGGACTCCCAGAAGGGTGATTGGTAGATAGCTTGGCAAATGTGTGACAAAAGCATTGAAGTAATTTTGGTTTTAAACAGGGATGATACTGAGCCTCGTAACACCAGTGGCAGTTGTGGCTTCAGTCTAGGGATTCCATTTTTTTAAAAAAAATTTTGATGCTGTTGTCAGATCAAGTGTATATAGCTTTTATTTAAAAAAAAAAATATGCTGGTTTAATGCAAGGACCATGCAGCTTTGGTGAGAAATGCAGTTAGTACAGGAGTCTGGGATACCATCGGCCAGCCTTCTGTATAGGAAGAGAATCTTCTCAGGCATATGTAGTTTACTTTGGGTCTCATTTAGAGCAGGTGATCAGACAAAGGGAGTGAAAGTCGAAACTGTATGTTGCTAGCAGTCTAGTAGCTCTGGAAACAGTTTGAAGATTGGTTCAATTTTTAGATTGAATTGCCTTCAGGTTTCTTCATTAGATAGACTAGTGGGTTTCAACGTGTGGTTTCTGCATTCTCTGGACCATCAGCATCAGCACCACCTGGGAACTCGTTAGAAATGCAAATTCTCTGGCTCTACTCCAGACCAATAGCATGAGGATATCTGTGGTGGAGCTGGGCAATCTGTCTGTTAAGAAGCCCTCTTGTTACTCTGATGCACACACAGGTGTGAGAACCATTGGCTAGATGAATATAGCATTGACCTTGATCTTTGAAGAAGTCAAACAGACTATTAATAGTCAATCAGTTGCCACTTTGCCAAGTGGAGCAAGTTTTCTAAGACAGTCATCTCTGACATAAGTTATCTCATAACCACATGGTTTTGGAAGTAATCATTGGAGAGTGATGACTTGAGACACCTTATAGCTTTATAAATAGCTGTAAATTTGACGTTTACTCTAGAGACTTAATTGGAGGGCCCAGGCCCTGAATACATATTAAATTACTTCATGAATGAATTAATAAAGAAATGAGTTTGGCTTTAGGGTATAACTGGTATTTTAAGATTAAATACCCAGGGTGAGAAGTATTTCCAGTAAAATACTAATAAGATTTCTTTTCCTTGTCAAATTAATTATTTTTTTTTGTTTATTTTTCTAAAATAGATAAGTAATGGAACATCATCTGTGATCGTCTCCAGAAAGAGGCCATCAGAAGGAAACTATCAAAAAGAAAAAGACTTGTGTATTAAATATTTTGACCAGTGGTCTGAATCAGATCAAGTGGAATTTGTGGAACACCTTATTTCACGAATGTGTCATTATCAGCATGGACATATTAACTCTTACCTGAAGCCCATGTTGCAGCGGGACTTTATTACCGCTTTACCAGGTAACTGTACTTGCCTTTTAAAAAACTTGAGCAGTAGAAGAATGTCCAGCCCAAGGGCCTAGGCAGAACTCAGTAGATGTTTGTGAAATGAATGAATGAGTACAGTGTGACTACAATGTGAGTTTCTTTGGGATCCATACTATATTTTATTATGGCATTAGAAAAGGAGTTGTAATTTAGGGTGTGTGTAGGAAATGTAGGCAGTTTCTGTGATTAACGGTGTTGATCGTTGGTCATACCATTGTTTAATTTAGTTTAATGAGCTAATGCTATGCTGTTTTTTAAAATGTTTATTTATTTATTTATTTTGAGGTCGGGGGAGGGACAGGAGAGGGGAAAGAGAAGCCCAAGCAGGCTCTGTACTGTTGACACAGAGTCCAGTGCAGAGCTTGATATCACGAACTGTGAGATCAAGACCTGAGCTGAAATCAAGAGTTGGATGCTCAACTGACTGAGTCACCCAGGCATCCCTATGCCATTGGTTTTGGTGTAGTCTATGTATAATCTGTATTTTGCTTTTATAATTCAGTTTTTTAAAATATGAGATAATTTCTCCTACAGTGTTTATGTTTAAGCAGTGTCCCAAAGTTTAGGATGTTCATTTGTACTTGAAATGATGTTTAGGGTAGGGAATGGTAACAATGTATTGGAAAAACTGATGGCATGTCTTTTTGAAAAACTTATTTCTGGATCTTCTCTCTCACCACCTCTCTTTTTCTCTCTCTCCCTCTTCCCCTCACCCCCATACTCCTCTGGTTAAGTTTACTTTGATTAAAGAGAGAGAGAGAGACTATTTTTTTTTAGAGTAGTTTTAGGTTGACAACAAAATTGAATGGAAAATACAGAGAATTCATCGAGTCTGCATATCCCCACCCCACCCCACTTTCACCATCCCGTCCAGTCTCCCCACTGTTAACATCGCATCCAGAGTGGCTCATTTCTTCTATGACACGTGGGCCTACATGGGCACATCATTATCCCCCACAGTCCATACTCAGTAGGGGTCACTCTTGGTGTATATTCTGTGGGTTTGGGCAAAGGTATAATGACATGTATCTGCCATTAGTGTATCGTTGAATAGTTTCACTGCTCTAAAAAGCCTCTGTGCTCTGCCTGTTTTATTCCCACTTTGATTTTTGATCATTCATTAATTCTGTCTTTTCTCTCTTTATTTCTTCTCCTCCTCCTTCTCTTAATTATTTTAAGTTTAATTTTAAATTTGGCTTGGTAAGATAGATTTCACTTCTGAAGAGAATGTTGGCCGGAATGTTTTCTTCTAACATGGGCATTGTGGTCTAGGGGTTATAGCTGCCGTGCCAGGGTAGACCTAGAAGTAGCCAGGATAAAAGTGCCATTGCCACTAGTCCTAACCCATCAGAGCTTCAGGATAGCTCTTCAAAGAGTAGCTCCTTCCTTAGCTTGTCTGTGATTTACAGTGCCTTGGGGCACCATGTTCAAAGTATTTCCATGGCAAATAGGAGCTGTTTTCAGATCTCAGGCAAATTGACAGGCCAATTTTGAATTTCTAATTTCGAATCTAATTTGTAATCTTTCTTCCAAAATGTGTTAGTTTACTTTCTACAGTGGGAGTGTAAGGTTATTTGAGAGTTCGCTTAGGAAATTTTGACTCTTTTGGTTTATTTTAAGCTGAAATGTAGCACTGTTTGCTCCATTTCATTCATTAGTATTTCTAGAAAAGAAAATAAGAACCTCCTCTTTCTAGAACTGTATAGTATTTAATTGCTAAAAAGAGTCTTAGCCATCACTTAATCCTCTTTCTCATTCTATAGACCAGGAAGCCAAGGATCAGAGAAATTTCATGAAATGACCAAGATCATCATACATCTTGGCTATTGTGGTGACTGTGTGGGTGATGGTGGGGGCTGGTTCAAAATTTGGGGCGCCTGGGTGGCTCAGTCGGTTGAGCGTCTGGCTTCATCTTAGGTCATAATCTCACTGTTCATGGGTTCGAGCCCCGCGTGAGGCTCTGTGCTTACAGCTAGCTCAGAGCCTGGAGCCTATCTTCAGATTCTGTGTCTCCCTCTCTGACCCTCCCCTGCTCACACTGTCTCTCTCTCTCTCTCAGAAATAAATAAAAAACATTAAAAAAAAAAAAAAGTGCAAAGGCTGAAATCATTATAATTAGGATTACTCTGGAAAATTCTTACTGGCCGTAAGTATAGAATATATGTTTACAACCCAGTTATTTATGAGAGGGTAAGAGGAGGAAACAGAGATGGGTTTAATTGTATCAGAGGGAAGGAGGGTGAGGGCTTCGGGGGAGAGAATTCTAGGTGAGTTTAAGTAAGGTGATTGATCGATCTGTGGTGCAGTCTCTTTGGTGTGTGTGGTGCCAGAACTGTGAACCTCCAGCACCCAGGCCTTCCTGTGGATTCAGGTTGCATCTCACATCTAGGAAAGATTGAACGTTAGATTCGATGATTGTACTTGTTCCTCATAAGTGCTTTTAACTAAATGAAACTATGCCTGCAGTTTTCTCAAGCAAATCTGTTTTTTTGTCTGTTTGTTTGCTTGCTTTCTGCTGTTTTTGTTTTATTTTATTTTTGCCCATTATTTGCTTCTCAAACATTTTAGAGGGCCAGAAAACTCGCCTTCTATTTACAGACTATCCACGAGGTGGCACTGTTGAAGTTCTCTTGATTTGCAGAGTGTAGTTCAGAGACCTCTCCTTTTCTTGGGGAGTGTACAGTCTTGGAGAAGAGACAGAACAGATGAACATGTGTTATGTATATAAATATGGTTAGTATAATTGCATACAATTCAGTTTTCATTACAGTGAATTTTAAGGCATTGTCCATATCTCTGTTAAAGTGGAATTTTGTGGTATTGAATATTACATGAAATGAATGGACCATTGGCTGAGACATGGAAATATTTTTGTTAAAACGCTATTTGTTTTAACAGGATTTGATCTGAACATATATACATATGTCAGTATATATCATACATATGAATCTAATAGCTGGCGACAAGCTGGCCAAGTTGATTGTGTTCGTGTCTCGTAGACTTGGATTAAACCTGGCATTAGTTCTTAACGCAGACCCTGCCTTAGGATTATTAGGGGAGAAGCTGGTCCATGTGCATGTTCATACTTCATTTTAATAATGTATGGGGCAACCTACTAATCACTATTCTAGTTTGGTGTTTGACTTTTACCTCAGATGATCTTGAGTTTGAAGTTTTGCTCTCTTGCGATTGTTAACTTAAGACTTCTTTTGATTGGGGAAAACCATTAATTCTATAAAAATTGTCTGTAGTTCTCGCTTTTTAATGCTTACTGTGAATATCATACCTGTCAGTATAGGGAAAATGGAAAATGTTTGTGGTCTCTGGCTCCTTTTGGTTCAGTGGAAAAAGTGATAATTATGATATGCTTTTCTAAAAATCATGGTAAATGTTTAGTCTGCAATGTCAATTTCTGCAGGCTAAGTTTGTGGTTTGTAAGAACTGTTGTTAAAGGGAAAATTTATACCATTTGAAGTAGAGGCAGATTATACTTCAAAGAGGATGATAAGCATTGGCGATGCTTTTGGTGAGGTATCTAAGCAATTAAGAATTTTGAAACACTTAGCTTCCTGGCCATGGTTTATTCATTTGTCTTATCCTCAAGTAAGGGTGATAAACCATTACGGACTGTAAATGTGACAGACGGGATCAAAGGTCTTGGGAGATGTGGAAGAGCCAGAGCACAGCGAAGGCTTTAGGCTGGATATAGGGCCAGAGACCAGCATGACAGAGTGGAAAGAGGGTGGGCGTTGGATTTAGACAGCCCCTAAATTTGAATTCCAGTCCCTGCACTTGATAGTTACATGAGCCCTTTTTGGAGCCTCAGTTTCCTTATCTGTATGGGAATAATCATAATATTTCATAGGGTATTGTGAAGATTAAAGACAATAGAAGTAATATGCCTGACTGCTGACGGGTATTGTGAGGGTGGTAGCTTTAAAAAAAAAAAAAAAAGAAAGAAAAAAGAAAAAAAAAAAGCCTGGAGAGACAGGAAACACCTGCTTCTCCAGAGGTAGTTAAGATTTGTTGCCGGGAAGTTTTAATTATTCACCTGCTAATTTCTGAATTGATCGTCCTGACATTAGAGAGGGAGACGCACCATTTTGCTGGGACAACAAAATGTTGAACTTTGAGTGGCATTTCACTTCATTTCTGTCTGAATCCTTAGGTCATATGCCAAGTTAAAGGCATCCATTGACAGCAGTTGCATTGTTTTTTCCTCCAAAATGTTGCTGAGTTCAGATTTTACAACTAGATCTGTGACTAGGAAGGAACAGCAGGAGTGGGTGGGGAAAGAAGTTTCTTTGCAGCTGCTCTTTGAAATGTGTTTCTAAAATAATAAAAGTTTCTGTAATTGTATGATCTAAGCAGCTGTGTTAAAACTGGCTGTAGTCAAGGGCATTAAAGTGACATTATACATTTGAGTTTCATTTTGATATAGTGTTATTTACATATTGAGCTTGGAAATTTGTGCCTTTTAATTGTTTTAATTTAGTATTGAAATTTTTCCAGACCTTCATCTGGTGCCTATAATCAGCAACAGAAGCACTTCTTCAGCATTGTGTGTGCCACGTTCTGGCCTCATTTTCCGAAACCATAATGTGTCCTCTTGTTGCCTTGGGAGGTGGCAGTTGGGGGGTGGGGGGGAGGGTCTTAGCAAGATAGAGAAATGAGAGCCAGATATTGGTACTTAAGAAAATGCTCAGTTTTAACGCCTCAAAGCACTTTCTAGAGCAGAGAGAGCACCTTCTTCAGCAACTTCTTTGTCCTGAATAGGCTTCAAACGAGGAAGCTGTACGGTCTGATTGGCCCCTGGGGGTACTATTCTAAGGCGTTCAAGTAGAGGGTGTGGGATTCCTGTTATGCAAACATTTAAAGGGAATGTGCAACTTAACACCAAGATGTTAGAATGGGCTATAGTGCTTTGCTAGAGGAGGTATTCAACATTTGCTTTGCAGAAAATAACAAAGAAG